AATTTTTCATGTTTTTACACATCTTAATGCATTTAAATTTTATTTTTTAAAATTTATACTATTTTAATTTTATTAAATAATATATCATGTTTTAATAAGGTATTGTTTATATTTATTTGTTATTGTAATTAACAATATACAACTATTAATTAAAAAATTAAAAATTTCTTCGTTTAGTAATGGATTTAGTGATAGAATTATGAGGATATTTAGCGATAGAGACATATACGATTGCTATATAGTGATGAAATTATGAGGATTTTAGCGACTATAATTAGTGACACTATTAACACTTCAAAATTCAAATTCATACGTCAATCAAGTATGATATCTTCTCGTGATGTAATAATAAATCATAAGTGGAATGATGCGTTTGGTCTTATGAATTAACTAAGTTTTGACAAGGCCTTAAATCTTTAATGAAACGATGTGTTTGGCCTTATAACCAATCAAATTTTGAAGAAATCCTAAACCTTTAATAAAACGATGCATTTGGTCTTATCATGAATCAAGTTTCAACGAAGTCTTAAAAATTTAATAAAATGATGCGTTTGGTCCTATCACCGATCAAGTTTTGACAGAACCTTAAGTTGAGTGAAACAATATGTTTGGTAATATAGCCAACCGAGTTTTAATGAAATCATAAGATTTAAATAAAATGATGCATTTGGTCCTGCAATCGACTAGTTTCGATGGAGACAATATGCATAAAGGAAACAAAGGGACAATTCCAAATAACTATTTGCGCTTAAATTTAAATAAGATGCAGTTATCAATCAAGAGCTTTTTAAGGAAGAGGGACCAACGGAATCATACACGATCAACAACATAAGAATATTTATACAAGTTTATTCAATTTTCTTAGTTTATCTAGTAATAGTTAGTTTCTATTTTCCTATAAGAATTTTAGTTGTTTTTTACTTGTCTTCGATAATTTTTCATCTTTGTAATCTAGGAAGTATCGATCCGTCAGAATGACATCAAATATATTGATAGTTAATGATATAAGTATTATATTTTTTGATTTATGATATTTACATTTTTTTTAATGAATTTTATCTCTTTCGATTGATAAAATTCCTTTTACTTTATTACTCTTTCTTTAAACTAAGTGCCCACGAAAAGTCCCGATGGCTTGCTAGATAATATCGAATCCCATAATATTTCATCGTGAAGCATTTAATCACTAATTAAAGTATTGATATACTCTATTTTAAAATTAAATTTGATGAGCACCATTAAGTTTTGGTGACTATATTGGGAGATAAATATCAAAATGTGGTACTACTAAAAGTATGACAAGACGTCAACTCTTTGAAGAGGACCAAATTAATGAAACACTTCATGTTTTAGTTGAAGAAATGATCTAAATTTTTGAAAGTGAACCTATAATGAAAACCATGTAAAACCATAATTACGAGAAAACTAAGGTTAATGAAAATGCAGAACTTAAAAATATAGTTGATAAAGGACAATATGATAATTGAAGCAAACTAGATGTCAAAAATTAAAAACATGTGAGTTCGGATAGAAGTGATAGTTCTACAAATCGAAATCATAATGTCAAGAAACAAGTACTTGAAGAACAAATGGTTGAATTTCGATAAAAGTTGGCTAATAAAACTTAAGAATTACTAAAAAAGATATATGATCCATCTTTAGAGATAGGTGCACGGATAAATTGACAAATGTGGTTAATGTTGAATCGGCTTTAAGAGGATATCAATAGGATAAAGCTTCCATAGCCAAATCATCAAAGAAAAATAATGAAAATACTACTAATCATACTATCGAATTGACGGAATGTATGTGCTATCATAGCGAGAGAGTGATTATAGTTGTAAATCACTCTGTTTAAGAAAACCACTCGTCCCATTGGTAAGACAAGTGGCCAAAGAAGTGAAGGTCGCTATTGAACCAAGATTTGAGACAACTAGAAGCATCACTCGAATGATGAGAAAAGATGTTCGATGACTTATAATTTTAGTAGAAGGAAAGAGGAAGGAACCAATCGAAGAAAAGAATTTTGACATTAACGGGGAAATGAGATCATCGATGGTTAAGCTAATCGAAGTTCATTTAGGATATTCGTCTTACGCTTCTAATATGTCATTTCATAATAGAAATGGTCATGACATGCTACAAAACACTTATGAACATACTCATTATGGCCAAACTAATGGATATTCATCCTAGGTACCTCTTGTAATTATGTCAACACACCAATACCTCCATATTGTCCTCCTTCAAACCTACCTCCAAGTGCAATGACCAATTTTCCACCATCGAATGTGCTAACTATGGCGACGATCGAAGGAAATGGTCTAACGACACATTTTCCCCCCAAAAATACACTCGAAGAATTGAATCAATAGGTTTTGGCTAACATGATTGAAAGGATGTGTAGACCGCGAATACAAAGGGTCAATCGTTCGTTTTATCGAAAGTCATATCTAGATTATGCCGATAGGAAATATCCACTCCCATAAGATTTCGCTCTCTTGAATTCACTTTGCTTTCCGGCGAAGATAATGTTTTTGCTTTAGAACACGTTACCAAATATAGTTTTTAGTGTGAAGAATTATCGGGAGATGATTTTCCTAAAGCCGTGACTCTTTGTTAGTTCTTTAACTACTGCAACATTCATTTGGTATATCAATCTATTATCAAAATCCATCTTTCAAGAATAAAACTTGGAATTTCATTGGCGGACCTAGCAAGATTAAGACAGTTTGAAGGTGAATTTGTAGAGCGAGTTTCTTTTAATGTTCGGAAGAGATAGAGTTCGATCTTAGATCCTAAAAACAAGTTTTTATGCTTTATACGGGACGGTTTGGATTTTGAACTCGGAAAGAAATTTGAGGACATGGTGTTTCAAGATTTCTACGAACTAACAAAAAGGGCATTAAGGTTCAAAACAATTTTAGATGAAGAATCATTGCTAAAAAATAACATAGTGGGAAAAATATTATCAAGATTTAACAATAATAAATATGGATTTTATAGAGTATGTTAAAGGAAAGCCAATAGTCTATAAGCGAGTTGGCTTGAAAAAACATATAAGCTTCTATAAGTTTTAAGTCAAAAGAAGATAAAAAATATTCTTTCGATCTTGACAAAGTGGACTTGATCTTTGATTGGCTTTTGGCCAATAATAGAATCAAAATTAAAGGCAAACATAGATTACCAATTTTAGAAGAGTTAAAAAAGAAAATTCTATAAATGGCACGGTTCTCTATCCCATTCAACTAATAATTGCATCTTATTTAAGAATTTAATTCAAGACTTAATAGAGTCAAAAAAATTATTTTTTTTAAAAGAAGAAGTTATGAAAGTTGATAGTAATCCTTTTTTCGAAGACTATTGATGTTTTCGACTTGCCTAATTTACGAAACAACTTGTTGTATCAAAAGTCACTAACTATTGAGTAACCGTGGTACTAAAATGATTACGAGTAGTCATTTTAAGAAATGAAACGACATGACGTCTTATCATGTCTATCGGCATTTAATGTTACGCCTATTAGAGAGAGAAATTTTTCATTTCATCTTTAAATGGCCGAAAAGAGAGCATGTGTTAGCATTTTAAAATTCAAAGTCATATGTCAATCAAGTATGACATCTTCTTATGATGTAATTGTAGAGTAGAAGTGGAATGATGCGTTTGGTCTCATGAACCAACCAAGTTTTGATAAAGTCTTGAGTCTTTAATGAAATGATGCGTTTGGTCTTATAACGAATCAAGTTTAGACGAAGTCCTAAAACATTAATGAAATGATACGTTTGGTCTTATCATCAACCAAGTTTTGATGAAGTCTTAAAACTTTAATAAAACAATGCATTTGGTCCTATCACAAGAGGAAGTTGTCAATCAAGAGCTATTTAAAAAGGTGGACCAATAGAATCTCACACGATCAAAAACACAAGACTTTTTATACAAGTTTATTCAATTTCCTTAGTTTAGCTTTGTAACGGTTAATTCCTATTTCCCTGTAAGTAGTTCGATGGTTTTTAATGTCTTTAGTAATTTTTCATCTCTCGTAACCTAGGAAGTATTGATCTGTCGAATAGCATTGAATATCTCGATAGCTAATGATGTAAGTGTCATATTTTTCAATTTATTATATTTACATTCTTTTTAATGAATTTTGTCTCTTCCGATTGATAAAATTCTTTTTACTTTATTACTCTTTCTTTAAACTACATACCCATAGAAAGTCCTAGTAGCTTGCTAGGCGAAACCGAACCCCATAATATTTCATCGCAAAGGACTTAATCATTAATTAAAGCATCGATGTACTCCATTTTAATATTAAATTCGATGAGTAGGAACAAACTCCTATTTCGTTTTTATTGCTATTTAGCGATGGATATAAGATCTTACCGACGATTGTTTTAGATTGATTTAGAAATGAAAATTCAACAAATTAGCAATGGAAATAAATTTCGGCCTCTAAGGAATCAACATTCATCATATTAGCGATGAAATTCATATTGTCTCTAATTCATTACTAATGTTATATAGTGATAGATTTTTAACATATAACGAAGAAAAAATCCTGTCACTATATGTCGAATTTTCGGAGTGATTAACAAATCTCAAAGAATAAAGGGTTTCAATTAAAATAAAAAAAAGTAGGTCTTAATTTAAAAAAATTTGCAAAAAAATTGATTCTCGGCGAGGAGAGCAAGAAAAAGGAACTGTCTATGTTTGTGTGCATATGTACGAGAAATCTGATATATATGTTCCATGATTCGACATATATATATAGACACACATACTAAGTTTTAAATTTTCATGTCACTTGTTTTATGTTCTATCGAAGTAGAGAGAATTAATTTAGAATATTGAATTCCAACGCTGAATCAGTTGGCGTGGTAAATCAGGAAAAATCAAAGCCGCTCTAGCTAGTAGCTGATGGTGAGCTAAAATTGGCGAGACACTGCTAAAATTGACCATATCAAATGTGCAAAAAAAAAACTTCTAATTTATAACTCATGTTACATTAAGCAGACATCAATAATCTTCGTTGTCCTTGACTCTGTATCAATTTTGGGGCAGAATATTGAATTCCAAAGCTGAATCAATTGGCGAGGTAAATCAGGAAAAATCAAAGCCGCTCTAGCTAGTAGCTGATGGTGAACTAAAATTGGCGAGATGCAGCTAAAATTCAATATTTTCTTATCAAGAAATGGCCAACCATCAAGTTTTTTTTTTTTTGCACACAAGAATTAAGTTTTAAACAAAATATCTATACTCGAACTGGTATATTCACTGTAATAATATCCATGTAATCGGACAAGTACCTGCAGAATGATTGGGTTACATTTTTTTTTTCCTCTTTAACGTGATAAAGCACGAGAATATTTATCAACCGTTACCTATGTATAATTGGGGGGTGGCGCAGGGAAGAGTTGGTTGTAGAAAAAAGAAAAAATATATATATAAAATAAGAGAAGCTGTTTCTGATCCGATTGAAGACCATGAAGCCGAGGTCGAAATCAACACCATCGAAGCTGACAGTCTTAGCATGGCCGCCTAAGTACTCCTCTTTCTCGTATAGAACAACCTCAACACCCGCTTTTGCAAGAGCATAAGCTGAAACAAGTCCACAGATCCCAGCACCAACCACTGCTACTCTCATTTTTGACATTATTAATCTAAACGAAATTCCAATTTCTAATCCTGCATTCATTCATTAGTTGAATTGTCACAAATTTTTGAAGTGTCAAAAAATATATATATTATTGAAGAGATCAATACTCTTCGTTGTCCTTGACTCTGTATCAATTTTTTCTGCCCCATATAGCCATCATTAGAAAGGGCCAAAGGCCAATCTCTTTGCTTCAAAAGGATCTCGATGCTACTATACGAAACTTGAAAACTTTTTTCTCGAAGATACACATACATTTTAGCAATTATATATATATATAGTTCATTTTTGTGTATCCCCAGCTTGATTCTGGTTATTTTTGCACTTAAGTGAATTGAGCAAATATATACACATATATAGCTTTTGTCTACCTACACTATCATTGCCGGCTGAATGCCGAGTTCTTTCTAGCCTCTATTTTGCATTTGCCCATCGTTTTCATGCCGAAAGTTTCTGTTCCGTGCGTCGAAACGGTGTTAATGCCGACAGAAAAGAAACATTAACATTATGAATTTTCATAAATTTTCATAAACGGTGTTAATGGATTCACAAGATATTCCCTAAACTCCGTTTGGCTTGAAGATTAAAGGTTTCACTGTGAATTGACAAAGAAAAGCAGAGGTCTTTGATTAAAAAATTTCTATAGAAATTAATTAAAAAGATATTATTATAACATACATTTAGTTATATATATAGCCAGTGATATAACCCAACTAGTACAAGTTTCTTTTCTTTTTAAAAAATCTTAAATTCAATTTTTTTTTAATAACGAAATGATGATGATGATAATAAACGTATATATTATGCACATATTAATTTACATAATTCAAAGCATATATGTACAAAAGCCAACCAAAAGTCGTAAAAACTCCAAAATAGATTAATAGAGATTTGCTAACACTTAATTTGGTAATTAGTATTTTGATTGTTAAATTGAGTTAGCTTCTTTTATCCAGTTTCTTGGTTTTTGAAACGGCATGCGTCTCACTTTCAACTTCATATACACGAATATCAGTTAGGTTAGATGTAAAATTAAGTTAAAAAAAAGTAAAACGAAAAGTGAAAATGACATGGTTTCTCTTAACCTGATTAGTTATATCAATTAATTAATCAGCCTAAATTGTTGAAGAATATACATGGAGATTGTCCAATCCTTTAGGTTAGACAAGTACTTGTAGGAGAATTTAGTACTCTATATGCTTTGTCTTCCCTCTCATCATCATTTATTTATTGCACAACGCAAGCCATAACCATAATGATGCGACTTAAAATGCAGGTTGGACATGCACGGAGTCTTAGAATTGTCCATATGGGTCACCTCATTAACTTATCTATGCACCAACTGTGAAAGTGGTTGATTACACTGTACAATATACAACCTGAAATAATTATCAACCAAAGCCCAACTCCAATCTTTAACGAGTTAGTTGACTGAGCCAAATCCATAAAGAATGCTGCTGGTAAACGGGATGTTTCAATCCCACACAAGTATTTTATTTTTTTAAAAGAACGAAATTTAGTGATTCATTCATTTAATTGTAGTCATTAACATCTAGTACTATTTAATTTAATTTATGTGTAACTGCTGCCCGTATTAGAAATTGAAGAAATTTTGGACTTAAGGTGCATTCCTTCCCATGAAAATGGCAAGCTTAGACGTGCAAACAAACATAATACACACCCACCAAAGCAAATGCCGAAGGGGTTAATTAGTAGTTGTTAATTTCAAGCAAGATGATGAAAAGAGATTTAAAATGATAGCAATAGTAACAGAGTGTTCCCTCTCTCTTTCTCTCAGAATGTGCGTGGTGCAATCCTCTCTTGGGAGACAGCCTCCTGCAAGTCTAATCTTTGACTCTTTGGCTTTTCCTTTCTTTCTTTACTGTATCATTTCATGTCCATAAGTTTCTTGAATTAATGCAGAGGGTAATTTCTTGACTTTCTACACCCTTTCTTTTCACTACCGCGCCTTGTCCTCTTTGTGTTCAAAGTTACCCAAGCCTCACACCCTCTCTCTCTCTCTCTCAGTCTTGCCCCTACTTAATGCTATATATAGTACCACATTCCACTCTGGTAGCAGAAGTTCCAATCATACTCTTCTTTCTCTTGCTTCTTTTCACCATGGCAGACCCTTGCTCTAATCTCTTCAATGGATCTTTCAACTTCATGCCTCTTAATCCTCACTACACTGCTTTCACGTCTTACTCAAATCCATCTAATCTTCATACATACTCAAACCACTATTTTTTCAACAATAAATCTTCCATTCCTCCTTCACCTCCTCAAAAAGAAGCACTTCCCCTAATAGAATACTTGAGTCCCATAAGACAACAAGAAGAGCGTCATGAGTCCTCAAGTAGTTCCATCGAAGAGGACAAGAACATGAAAAAAGATGACGAGAACCTCTTTTTTAGTACTGCAGATGGTAATGATGACCCTGTGACTGTAGCTCTGCATATTGGCCTCACTAACCCTAGTTCTGACCTGCAGAGGGCACTTAGGCCTTCCTCACCTGCAAATGCAGCTGATAAGGAAGAGATTAGTGCAGTTTCATGTTACCCTTTGGAGAAACTAAATAAGGGTCAGTATTGGATTCCCACACCTTCCCAGATTCTCATCGGTCCTAGTCAATTTTCATGTGCTCTTTGCTTCAAGACATTTAATAGATACAACAACTTGCAGGTGTGTCCCATTTTCTTTGAAACATGTCTCCTTAAGCTCTTCTTGTTTCTGTTTTGGTTTTATCCTCTCTTTTCTTGCTCCATTTTCAGCTGGATCTTGGTACTTTATTTTTTATGATGAACATAATTAGTTAAATTGTAGGAGCAGTAGAGTACTAGCCTAGAACACAGAAAGTCTCTGTCTTTATTTGTTTGTTTGTTTAATTTCCATTTTGCATATATATATATATATATATATATATATATATATATATATATATATATATCTTGGCTAGCTAGCTAGCTTGACATCTTTAGTCAGTAATTGATTCTGTTTTTCTTTTTTGAAGTTCCAACTGAGATTTTTTTTTTTTTTTTGAGTGTTTTGACCTTTCATGAGACACTCTTGTGCTTTTGTTACTTCGAAGATTATGCTACGGTCAGTTGCTGCGGTGGGTTAAAGGAAACCTGCAAACAAATGCAGTGCTTCAGAGTTATGAGGATCTGCAGATAAGGAACTGAAAAGTGAAATTCAGAGTGCTCCGATCCCTTTCATGTCTGTAAAAATTTACCCTGAAGTTAGATTGTTCTTACGAAAATCCTTGTCAGCTCCCAACCCACACTGCTGTGTACCTTTAAAGGCACTTGCTAATGGTTAACATAAAAAAACACTATATAGATCATGTCTGTTATAACTAATACTATTATTTGTGCATGCAACCCTATGTTAAGCTTAAACCCTGGCTTGCGCAATCTCTCAAGGAGCAACAAAATTTTACCAGTCTCCTTGATTGTTAAGGAGGCTACTAGAGTTTGCTCTCCCAACCATTAATTCAATTTCTTTTGCTTAATTTCTTATATTGAATAACCCAAAACCCAGTAGGCCTCTCTAATGAATCAAATGTTTTTAGCATTGCTCTTCTACCTGGAACAGTTATGTCTCTTAAATTAATGTAGGCCTTGCTCAATTAAATGGATGCCTTCAATTTCCATTTGGGGAAAGCTAGTGTATTCCTTTTGTAGCCATTGCAAAAATTTATACCTTTTTCTATGATAAGAGTTCGTTGGATACATCATTGATCACAGCGCTTGATCTCTCTCTCTCTCTCTCTCTCTCTCTGTCTATCTACCTATCTCAGCTGGGTTTTGGTTCACATCGCAGATGCATATGTGGGGACATGGATCTCAGTACAGAAAAGGACCAGACTCTTTGAGAGGAACCCAACCAACAGCAATGCTAAGACTTCCATGTTATTGTTGTACACCAGGTTGCAAGCACAATATTGATCATCCAAGAGCAAGAGCACTCAAAGATTTTAGGACTCTCCAAACACACTTCAAGAGAAAGCATGGAATCAAACCCTTTATGTGTAGAAAATGTGGTAAGCCATTAGCAGTGAAAGGTGATTGGAGAACACATGAAAAGAACTGTGGGAAAATATGGTATTGCATTTGTGGGTCTGATTTTAAGCACAAGAGGTCTCTAAAAGACCACATTAAGGCCTTTGGTCATGGCCATGCAGCTGTTGGCATTGATTGCTTCGAAGAAGAGGATGAACTAGCATCTGAAATCGAACATGACGGTGAATCCTCTATTTAATCAATAGGGTTTTAGGTGAATTCTTCCACCTTCATGAGCCTATTCTTAGCTTCAATTTATTTCTCATTGGTGCATTAATTGGTTTGTTTGCCTCATTTTTCTCGCTTGTGTATTTCTAGGCATAATGTTAATTAATTAGGTTCCATGACTATGTTAGACCAACTTGTGTAAATTTACCCTTTTGCAAGGAAGAAATAAACCAGTGCAAGTCTTATTATATAAGCTATATATCCTCATTACTCTTTGGTGTGTGTGGAGATTTCTTTTCCCAAATGGAATTGAGTGCAAAGTTTTGATAAGTGCTTGCAAGTGCAAGCCTTATCAATTATAAACCAGTTTCGTTAGCAGTACATTGTGTGTATATATCATTGCACTTCTTCTTCTTCTTCTTCTTCTTCTACTTTTTCTTCTTTCTCCAATGGAAGTGCTGCTAAGTTTTGACGAGTGCATGCTACAAAATTATTACTAAGAGTCTTAATTACTTACTCTCATTGTCCCAAATATCGTTCATCTTTTTTATTTTTATTTGTTTCAAAATATTTAATTGTCTTCAAAACTTTAAGTGATGTACGTTATTAATTAAAATATCTCTTAATTTTAAAATTTTTATATAAAAAATTAACTAAATACAGTTTTAGATAAATAGTTTTTATAAAATATAAAATATTTATCTAGAATTGTATTTATAAACAAAAAATGTTGACATAACATAATAATTAATTAATTTCTTAATATATGAGAAAAGTTAAAAGAACAATCCTTTTAGGACAAATGAAGTATTTTGTTTGCCAACAAGCATTATGTAATTATTAAACATGATGCATTTGTTATTTTTCTTTATTTTTTGGATTTTAATTTTTGGGATAACACTCAAGAAAATTAATTAATTTTTTTTAATTGTATCTTGATGCTTAATAGAGAGGTATGTTCTTAAGACCATTTAAAAAGAGAATTAGTCTTAAATGATACATAAGTTGGTCCAAAAATATCTTAATGTCGAATAAAAAGAAAAAAAGGGGTAATTCTTTTTTCTTTCTCATAATAAAAAGACAATCAGTTGGTTTTCCTTCTGTGATTCTCTTTCATCTTAGATATGATCCAGGCTTTATCCCCAAATCCCTTGAAGTTGCACGAAATGACTTCATCAATTAACTATGTATGTCCACTAGCTAAATAGCATCCTGAAATTAAAAACCTTGGCTATCTGGCGCCAGAAAAGAGAGAAGAGGCAATAAATCATGTATCCTGTGTACCAAAACTCAATTAATTTTATAGTTTATATATATATATATATATGGCAGTGCAAAAATAATGAGTTTTTTTTTAATTGATTTTCACTGGTATATCGAGATTAAATCCACAGATCTTACCTGATAAAAAAAAAAACGATTCATAATGTGTAATTTAACGATTTATGAGATTCTTACGTTTGGCTTAAGATTTAAATCAGCTCGATAACCAAATAAAATCAAAACTATTCATATCCTCTTACTTCTGGACAACCTTGGTGTTAAAAAATAAGTCATCGATAACGATTAGAGTCACCACCAAATGTCTTTTTTTCGTTTATGGTAGTGGTGCACGATAACTCAGCAACTAAGTCTGGCTAAATGTTGTAAATTACGGTTGGGGTTTGAGAATAAAATTAAAGAGTAATTAATATAATATTTTACCCGAAAAAATTAAATATAATTAATAACCAAAGCGAGTGAGATAATTAAGTATTTATTGGACAAAGCGCTTTGAATAAATAAGATTTCCCCATAGACCATAGTCCTACTTGATGACGATGATAATTTCTGGGAATATGAAAACGTCTTAATTAGCTTGTATCTTCTTATCTGCTTCTTCGCTTGTAAATGATCAAACTATAATTTGGATTGGGTTTAGAGTTGAAAAAGTGGATGAGCAGACTCACAAGCAGATTCAAGGTAGCAGGTAGCCTCCTATGATCAGTTGATCAGATTCATATATAGCCTTTCTGTTTTAATAGTTTGATTCAAACCTTACACTTTGTCTAATAAGAAGAAATGAAAACTAGAGGAACTTAAGTTCGGAAAATTAAAGATTGGAAAAATACAATTCCAGTACTTTTCCTGTTATTTTGATCAGAAAAAATGTTAATTAATCAAGACTTAAATCATTTCTCATTTCCTCTTTAAACAATGATGATCATTTCATTATATTATGCACCAAACTCGAAACTAAGACTTAATGATAGAAAGAATTGAGAAATGCGAGAAAAGTTATTGTCAAATGATCATTTCACCTAAAAGCTATCGAGTTTTGTTGATCAAGAGGTTATGAGTTTAAGTCTTACAATTCACAATTTTTCAAGTATTAAGCACGAGACAATGCGAATGCGTGTAAGTTTCAAATTCAAATATTAAGACTTTCACTTGAAGAGGTGTATTAGAGATGATATAAATTATATTCTAGTAGCCTCACCTATCAGCTTAAGTTTTTAAGTGAGATGGTTGTTTAATAGTTATGCTTTCTATGTAATCTAATCAGGGAAAGAAAAATGTAATTTCACTTGAAATTTCGCATATATGTCATCTTCAAACTAGAATTATTCTGTTTCAATATTGGAAAGGAAAAGGATGGCATGGGCCCATGTTTTCAGCCCAAAATTCATGGGCTACTTTTTTACTGCTATAATTGGGCTTTACTATTAAGTCTTTAAATCAATGGCCTCCATCACTTTCTGGTGAATCTGCAACATGGCAATGACATGCTCTCTCTCCCGAACCCTTCAGTACAAGCCATCAAATGTGTTAAAAATCAGCTCATCTTCAAAAATTGATAAAACGAAACCAAATATCACTCAAATCCCAACCAAGAAGCGTTGCTTGAGGTGCAATACTCTTTATTTTGACAAAGATAACTCCCCAGCTGCCTGCTCTTTCCATGGCCACACCACAGGTATGCGTCGCATCTCACCTAAAAAAGAGTACCCTGTCTTTTTTTTTCCCCTTTAATATGGGACTGGAAGTATTATGTTTACCATGTTTTGTGTAGGGGAGAAGGGGTTATTTGCTCTGGCTCCACCACACCAGGGTATTGACGGCGAGTGGAGTGACCGCTCTGGAGTGATCGTGTATAAATGGAATGACAAGAATAATAGACCAAATACTGGAAGTGTTAATTGGAAGAAAAGATGGAGTTGCTGTGCTGAGTATGATGAAAATGCTCCACCCTGTAGACGTGGGTGGCATGTTTCATATGATGATGACTTTACTTTGTATTAGCCCGAACTGGTTTGTTTTGTAAGCAAAATTCAGTACCATCAATAACAATTGCTAATGAATTGTGTTGTATGTGTTTTTTTTTTAACCCAATTTGTATACCATTTTAGAGGAAATGCAAGTATGATAGTGTTTGCTTGAAATAAGGAGTATCTGTTGTTTAGGCAAATTAGTCTTGGGCATTAGAATGCATATCTTGTGTCTTTCTATTTATCGACATTAGGATTAACAAATATTAATTATCTTCTGGGTTTTATGACATGAAATCCAATAATCAATTGGCGGATTTGGGTTCTGAATGGACGTTTTTTTATTCAAGAGGTGTGTGGCAGAGCATTTTCATTTCCTTTTGGCTAAGTAGAGCAATTTGATTTATTTTGGCTTTCTGATGTGTTCAACAGGCATAATAGCTTGTAAGGTATGATCAGAATTGACAGGATGTTATTTGAGGGTAAAATGCTTTGCTTTTAAGCTGGAATTCAAAGTCTTCCATTTTAGGAGATCTGCAAATTGAGCTTTCACAGATTCCCAGTAATTAAAGAAATCGTAAAATTCACTGGTAATCTGTAAATATGTATCTATATTAGTGAATCGTGATGCTGAAACCTTGTTGGAGTGCATTTTGATGGAAAATGGCAGCAAAATCCAGTAGAGAACGGATTCGTACCCATATGGATGTCTGTCCATTGCAATAGCTCATGTTGCAGAGCAATGTGTCTCTATCCTTCCTTCTACATGAGTTCCTCTTAATACTAGAAGAAATCGATGAATTGGTATCCATAGTGAATTGCTATACTATAGAATTGTTAGAGCCAACGCTATGAAACAGAAAATCATGGAAACGAACCTTTTAATGATCACTTGATCGGCAAGGTTTATGTTTCATGCTTCTTCTCATCCAACGGTTTCACTTTCCCATCACCAAAATGTTCACTTGTAATGATCTCAATTAGCAATTGTTATTATAAACTCTCTGCTATATATATATATATATTGCAAGTAATATAATCCATTTCTGTTTCTTCTTGTTGCTGAGTTGCGAAGGGCAGAATTCCAGACAAATTTTAATCAACTTACAAAGATACATTAATAAGCTATAACAAAAGGTTTTATTAAAACAAGAAAAAACTGAAGATCAAACATACTCAAAACAAGCAATTAAGCTTCAGCTCGTATTAAATTCAACCTTTCACTACCTTCTAATACTAGACAACAGTCTTAAATGACTCGTGAAGATGCCTCAAAATCTCTTGATCTCTATTCCATTCAGGTGTTGGTGCATTGACAAAATGAGCGTACAATTTATTGTTAGAACAAGTAACCTTGATCAAACTATGTTTACCAACCCCATCAATCTCGTAAACATAATACAGTTGTCCGTTCCCATCTTTCTTCTCTTCACTCACCACCCTATCTGCACCAGATATCAAGTCTTGCAAGTCCACATCAGACAAGGCCAAGTTGTTTAACACAGCATCTTTTGGAGCTAGCTGCCTGAAACCAGCAAGATAAGTCAAGTACTCCTTTTCCGTTTTCTTTTTTGGATTGTAGAACTCACTGTCCGTTCCATTAGTACCCTTTTCAACTTTGGAAACTAAACGTTCTTTCCATCCATCAGGGACATCATAGACGTACTCAGCAGAAGCTTTCTTGTCGGAATTGCCACCGTATCCACCGTAATTGGCGGCACTGGCTGCGGTGCCATAGTAGATATGGAAAGTTTGTGAAGGGTCTGCTAGGGAAGGAGTGCTGGCAGTTAATATTGTGGTGGCTACAACGGTGGCAGTTAGTGTTTTGAGGAGGGGTTTGTTGGAAATGGGTAGGTGGATTTTGGAGAGTGGTGGGGCTTGTGGTGGTTTTTGGGTAGTGGTGGTGGACGAGAGGCGGACTGATGGAGAGAGAATGGTAGCCATGGGATTGGCTAATGATGGATATGGTGCTTTCTTCTTTTGCTCTTCAATTCAACATTTTTCTCTTATCCATTCAAAGCAATAAGGTATGGTATGCTTATGGGGTTGGACCAATGAACATACGCCAGGTCATGTTCCGCATTGAAGAGTTTTTGCTTAGATATTTTGGATGGTACTACCAATAATAATTTGAAGTAAATTATCAATCAATCCCTCACTTTTGGAGAAACAAATTAATTAATTTTCTAATTTAAAAAATTAATTATTTAATTTTTTGATCATTGAGTATGATTAATTTACTATTTTTTATTTTATTAAATATGTCATTTCCTTATCAATTTTTTTCATAATTTTTAATTATTTTTTATTTTTTAAAATAAAAATAAAAAAATTAAATGATTGAATTTTAAAACTAATAAGACTAATAATTTATAATTTATTCTAATAATTCTTTTACTTTTTTTTTATATATTTCTTATAATACAAATCAAAATGATTAAGTTTTAAAACTAAAAGATTAATTAATTCGTTTCTCGTGATAAGAGAAACTAATTTATAATTTACTCTAATAATATTATTATTTTACAGATGCTCTCGAAGCTAAAGGTAAAAACATACTCGCGTGGAGATGCAGGGTATCGAACCTGTACCTCTCGCATGCAAAGCGAGCGCTCTACCATTTGAGCTACATCCCCTGACGCGTGGGTCCTTTAATATAATTATTACAACATATATCTACTCCAAGTACAGTGAGGTAAAAAAATAAATTCGTATGTTTAATTCTTGAAATGGGTTGACAAAATTGAACGGTTGAGTTTTTAAGTTTCATGATTTAATAAGCTATATATTTCAGTTCTAGTCGGTGCTCTCGTATCATGGCTGCTCAAATCTAATTCACTTCAATATATGGTAATGAAACTATAATTTTATCTCCAGTCTAATATGATAGTTCACGTGATTATAATTGATAAATTTTACTTATAATGAGTATTATTGGTCTCAAATAAAGAGATATAAGAGAATATTAGACAGCGAATGTCTTTTCCAAATTCAATATGAACATCCCTTTCCTTAAAAACAAAGAAGGGGGAAAAAAATAGGCGATAAAAGACAATATCACTTGTCAATTCTTTCAATCACGAATAATTTTTGAATAAACAAAAGGTATAAAATTAAAGGCAAGAGTTCAGAGAGAGAGATAAAGTTTAGCATGATTCATAGTTGAGTATGTTATTAATGTTATATAATCTAAGTTCAATCCTAAAATATTGTAAAAGAATAATTTTTTATGTCCAAATGTAAATGATTTATTTAAGATTCATAAAGAATCAATTTAGATTGCGTCTGACATAACTTATTGAAATTAAATTTTAACTTTAAATCATAATTAAAAAGTTATTTAGCATAAGCAACCTATGAAAAAATAGTCAAGTTACAAGCTATGTTTAGGAAAAAATTGACCAAAGACAACTTTTTTTTTTTTTTAAAAAAAGAAGATATTATAAGTTATAATTGATAAAAAAAAAAACTTTATTTACAGTTAAGTAAAAAATCATAAATAACCAAAGATATTTATGACCTTTTACAGCTCAAAAGTTAGAATATATATTAAATGGATTTATAAAAATATACTAAATGGAGCTCTAATTTTCAAATATTAAAATTAAAATTTGATTTGAAAATATTTTTATTACTTGAAAAAAACAACTAAATCTCTAAAGATACTAAAGCATCAATAAGTTTTTATTACGTCATAAACGAATTCTTAAATAATGAGTTTGAGTTATTGAATAGAAGATAAAATGTAATTAATTTACATTAAAGATCACGATAGCATGAATGAAAAAAAAACGAATAAATTATAAATTATTTTTTTATAGTTTTGTAAAATAAATCAAATATTTTTCCTAATTTCAAAATATTTAATTGTTTTTTTAGTCCATTTCATGTCCTTCTGAATTTATTTTTTTATAAAAAAATAGAAAAAGTAAACTAACAAAGAGATATTATTAAAAGATTTATGGAAAAAAAGTCATTTTTTTAAACTAAGTAATATTAAATTAAATATGATTAATGCTAATAAAAAAATAAAATTTTTAAACTAGAAAAACTATTTAATCTGTTTTCAAAACTAAACTAACTAAATTATAATTTGTTAATAAATAAGTTCCCTAAAAAACCATCGAACTCCAAAACATCTTAATGGTAACAGCCAATAAAAACAGACGAATTCAAGACGGCCACAAACTTGCCCAAAACGAACTTGAAAATCACACAAATGCCTCCGTACTTGCTATAATTGCATTTCTACCCCTAAAAATGAGCCAATTTTCATTTTTTTGGGATACATTTTGTCCCCCTCCACGCTCACCAACCGCCAAAAAGAACCCTAACCAGTAGGCGATAGAGCGCACCAATTGGAAGATAGATAGAGAATAGAAGAGAAGCAGACAGACAGACACTTTTTGTCTAAAATTTGCAAACTCACGTGATTGACACCCTTCTATTTCGCTTTCTTTTCTCTCCTCTTGTTTTCCTTTTTTCTTTCAAGTCTCCACTGTTAATCACAATAATAACCCTTTATATAAACATAAAAGCTCACCTCTTGGCTAGGGTTTCAGTTATCCATCTACCTTTCGCTTTTTTTTTTTTTGAATTAATTAATATCATTCTCCATGTCTAAAAGGTAATTAATCTTCTAACCTTGTCAATTTTGTGTTTTGATAGTTTCTTTCTTTCTTTTTTTTATATTGTGCTCCTGGTCACGGTCATGTTCTTTTTTGTTTGATTAGTGATCATTAATTCATTAATGTTGATGAATTTTAGGTAAATGATTAAAATAATAGCTGTTATATTTATTAAGTTAATGGATTATAAATTACTAGCTTTTGATTTTCAAGATTGAACTTTTGTTTGGATACGGTTGATGTTCATGCATATAGTTGAATGATCGTAAGGGCATTCAATAATGCGGACGATGGATCGTGTTTTCTTTCTTTTCTTTTGGTTTCGAGTATAGGAATGAGTTTTATTGATCATGATTTTGTGTTAATTGATTGTTTCAGGGTACTATGCAAGTTCTTTGCTCATGGGGCATGTTTGAAAGGGGAGCATTGTGAATTTTCACATGACTGGAAAGATCCTCCAAATAACGTAAATACTATATTTTAGCTATGGTTTTATCTTTTCGCCTTTTTTATTTTGGTTGATTATATGTAGTAAAATGATTATTTTGACTATTGCCGTTTAATTGTTTGTTAATGCAGATTTGTACCTTTTATCAAAAAGGAGTCTGCTCTTACGGTAGTCGATGCCGATATGATCATGTTAAACCTTCTAGGCCTGAATCTACTCCATCATCGTCGTTGACAGTTTCTCACCAGCCTCTGGGCTCAAATTCTGTTTCTCTGTCTCTTCCTGCTAGAACTGTATTGAGTGGGGTGACAACAGTACCGGGGTTTCCTCCTGAGCTTTCTGCTTCAAGTGCACCCTTTATTGCTCCTGCTACTCCGGCATGGAATTTGGAGTCTGTCCAACATGATTTGTTAGAAGATGGTGAGGTTATGGAGCCTAGGAATGCTAAACCAGCAGACCGCCCTCTCTGTTCATTTGCTGCTGCTGGTAACTGTCCTCGTGGAGATAAATGTCCTCATATTCACGGCGACATATGTGCCTATTGTGGAAAGCATTGTTTGCATCCTTTCAGACCTGATGAAAGAGATGAGCATTTGAAAGCATGTGAGAAGAAGCAAAAGAACCTTGACTTATTAAAATACAGTCAAGAAATAGAGTGCAGTGTATGCTTGGATCGTGTGCTCTCAAAGCCAACGGCAGCTGAGCGAAAGTTTGGGCTGCTATCAGAATGCGATCATCCATTCTGCATATCCTGTATCAGGAATTGGCGTAGTAGTTCCCCAACCTCTGGCATGGATGTTAATTCTGCATTGAGGGCTTGTCCAATATGTCGTAAGCTTTCATATTTTGTAATTCCAAGCGTCATTTGGTATTCCTCTAAAGAGGAAAAACAGGAAATTGTTGATACCTACAAGGCAAAACTCAGGTAATCTTTTGTCAAATGTATGCTGCTTCTTTATCTGCTACACAATTGCTGGATCATCGTTATACTCTTGGATAACTTTTGAAGAAATGTGCAAAATTTATGTACTAATGTTGGAAATATTTTAAGATCCACCTGTCATTTTTCTTGATACGGTGAAAAAGAAAAGCAGAATCATCTTACATATTCTCAGAGAAGATTGGTTGGTTATTTTGTGATAATGTAGGCTGTAAAGTTTCATGTGGTTGAATTATACTTGTGATTAGTTAGATAACCAAAGAACTTAAGATTTTGAAGTTGTTGAATAATTATGTATTTACTTTGACTTTTGTAGGTCAATAGATTGCAAACACTTTGACTTTGGTAATGGGAACTGCCCATTTGGAACCAGCTGCTTTTACAAGGTAAAGTGCCTTCTTGGTCTGTTCATTGGAATGTTATGTGGAGATTCTCATTGTTGTTTGGACACTTTGTTCTATCGACTCTCTTTTTGCTCATTAAATGCTATCCAACCAAAAACTATCTATCATCTGTAGCTGTGTTTGCCCCCTTTTTCCCCCCTTTTTCCTCCTGGTGAATACTTCTTGTATTGACTCCTAACACACGTGCTGTTAGACAGTAACCTCTGATCCGTTCAACACTTCCTTTCCTTTCCGTTTGTGTGTGTCTCTTGAATGTTGCTTTTCACATATTTCTTGGGAACCATATATGCCTCTGCGGCAGCCTTACCAATTCATCAGGAGTTAGGAAAGTGTGAAAATTGGGTGTCTGCAGAAAGTAGAATTAGATTTCAAGCCCAAAAATTGTCTATTTTCTCTCTCATGTATGGATAAAGTGGTGTCATGGAGAGTTAGCTTCTCAACTCTTAATGGATATGGTGCTATTGTGTTCTGGTACACTGTAAAGCAGGTCATGCACTTGGATATATCACAGACCCCCTTAATATAGATCATGTCCATGCACATCCTATCTTTTGGATATGGATGCATTAGCTGATGTGTTTTGAGGACTTAATTGAAGAGGATTAATTAAACATTTCTTATGCTGAGGATTTAAGTGATGAAGATTAAATGCCTGTGGAAATGGCTTCTTTAGTAGTGCAGCTGGATTTAGATCAAACTAATCTTTTACTGATTAAGACAATTATCTATTTTGAGCTACTAGATATACTTATCTATAGTTTGAACCAATGTAGCATACTGGAGACACTTCTTTCTTCTGCTGCACTTTTTGAGGTACTATCCCATTGGGTTTCTAGCAGCTTATTGTTTTAGTATCAGAAAAGATGAAACTCGTAGTTTCATAGTTGTTTTTCTTTTGTAGTTTTTATGCATATGTTTTGGTGCTCACTTTTGGTATGTTAGTAGCCAGCTCTGCTGAGAAGTAACTGGCTCAGAAATGTCTCTATGTTTGGTTAAAGTGCCATTATAAATATTTACAACGTTTCAAGCACTCGCTTTTGTTACATATTAGCAATAATAAAGCAAAAATTCTGTTGTTAATGCATGCGAATTTCATAAAGATTGCGTTTTCAGAAAGTACTTCTGTTGCTCTTCAAGTTTTGCTGACTACCTATTCTCAAATAATTGGGAAGACAATTTCTGGTTGATGAAGTCATGCTATTTTAGTTTATCTATATTTTTTGGTAGAAGGGTAGCGGCGCTTTTAGGGTTTTTTTTAAGTGGGATTACTGGTGAAAGCTTTGGACTTGATACGATGTAGTTAACCAAAATAGAAAAAACAAAGAAAGGTAGGAACATGAAGTTGTGTTGTTGCATAGATTGGCCACAGAAGATGGCACATTATGTGACCATAAGAACTAAAATATGATATGATATCATGAATGCGATTTGCCAATAAGGATACTTTCTCATTCTTGTGTTGCTTCTTCTTCTTTTTTTTTTTTTTCCTTTAGCGCATTCTATGCTAATGACTTCAGTGTGTGTCTAGTAAAGTTTTGATCATTGCTATTCTTGATTTGCAGCATGCGTATCGAGATGGCCGCTTGGAGGAAGTGGTTTTACGTCATCTTGGAGCTGAAGATGGACAGACTCTGATAGCTAAAAATATCAGGTTTTCTTTGTTCCTGCTCACTTAATGTTTCACATAACTAGCTGATGACACTATTGTCTTTTATTTTTAACTAATGTGTTTAATCCCTTCCGTTAATTAATTCATTGTTTTCTCAGACTGTCTGATTTCCTTGGTAGCTTGCAAATACGGTGAACTGGTGGTGTTTGAATACTCAATGTAAGTTTCAAGTTAGTACTTTTGCTTATTCAGGGATCCCTGATTTCTGAACTGTACATACTCGAGCACTCTGTCATGTTCACATGCTATTGTATGCGCACTGACATGCACACTCGTGCAACATTGGTCTCTTAATGGCCAAAGTAACTTTGCACTTTAACTCTCTCAAAATATACAGGATATCCATCATTGTCAAGAAATGCATACAACTTTATTGTGGAAGGTCTTCCATCTGCAGTGCCAAACCAAGTTGTTTGTGAGGTAATTTGCCTTGCGAATATTATATCCATCAGTTTATCCTGTATTATGATCTTGCTGTTCTTTTGCTTTTGAAAATGTATTCCTGTTGTTTTAAGTTTACTTTGACTTTATTTTATAAATTTCTGGTGAAAGTGCTTGGAATCTTATGCTCTCCAAATCTTTCCTGGTCTAACAACTCTAACGTTCCATGATAAATTCTCTTTACTAAGCATCCGCTGCTATACTATTCATCATTTCTTCTTTTATGTCAATCAAGGGTTCATTCCTCAGAATTGTCATATATACTATATATGAACATGAAGGAATTTTCGGGGTTTCATTATCCCTGTGAAGTTTGTTTTTATACTTTTCAATACATGCTCCCACCTTGTGGGTTCTGTTCTGGTTTGTTCTGTCCTATGGATTTAAATGATCCTGTAGGGTTGCAGGTGGCATGCATGAAATTCAGTCTGGAGGGAAACTATTTGTCATCTTAAAATGATCTTAATGCTCACAGAATTACTTTGATTGTCCATGTTTGAATAATAAGCGGGTGCTTTGAGTTACTCTTGAAGCTAAACATCTATTCGTTGTTATAATTTTAGGCCATATTGCTATATACCCCTTGTGTCTAGTTTCTCACTACTTGAAGGTTTTCTGTTTCCGAAAATCCTCATAAAATTTCTTGCCAAATGTAGTATGGCTTTCTGGAGGAGACTCAATTGGGGGAAGCTGCAAGGTGTGCCAGTTTGTTATAATAAGCTGCCTCTTAAGTTATTTTGAAATAATAATACGAAGAACATGTCAAGGCTTGAAAAAAAAATATCAAGAGGTGATAAATTATGTACTTGCCAAGGAAAATGATTTCAATAATGGATGTTTGCGAATAGAGTTTGCTTCCCTCACACCAGAAAGGACAGTGAAACTACTGGGTTTTTCTCCAATGATTTGTAATAATTTGAAGTTTTGATGGCAATGTCATTGATGTGGAGCTGCATCATACTGGAGTGGCCTCTGTATAAAAGTTTTCAAGTTGACGTATACCTTGTAATTCATTTGTACCTAAGTCATTGCACTGCCATGTTGTGAAAACGATTACAAAGTGAATTTTCTTCCCTTGACAACTTCTAACGCATCCCGAAAACTACTCTTTGTTGTGTTATTTATTTGCTACGGTAACCAAATTGCTGTATTTATGCACGGAATCTAATGCCTAAACAGGTCGTAAGCTTCGTATATTTTTCCTCAGTGTCATGTAGGTGTTGTTTGTTAGGCTTGTTTCATCCGGGAGACCCAAATGGCCTTCACTATACAACAAAGATGCATAATAGACCTTTACCATCCCCTAACACTCCACTGGCCCGCTCCATTGTTTTTATTAAGGTTTGAACATTCCCTAATGGAAATCCCATGTCGCAACAGCCGGCTGTCCCCTTGGAGACATGTAGCTTTTGTTGTCAACCATGGTTGTCTTTCTTTGTATTTTTGGTCCAAGATTTCGAGGGGTGTCATTCACTTTTTTTTTACAAAAAACAAAAATAAAAATAAAATTGCTAAAATTAATATTATCACTAAAATCCCCAAAGCATAGGCATAGAATAAATCTTTTATTGCGTCTATCTATACTCGTGCCTTTGACTTCATGATCCATAGTTTGGTCAGATGAAGTCCATAATTTATACTTCAGCTTCCATCATCATGTATTACAGGATATATTTGTTTTTTGGGTTTTGCTGTTTACATAGTATCTATACTTTTTGGATTGTTTTGATTAAAATCATACATTTTTTTATGTTAATTGAGTCTTGCTGCTCTTTATTTTGTTTCGTTTCATCTACTTTCATTAGTTCACGAACCATAACATGTCCACTTCTGGATAAATAACATATGTCATACTTGAGATCCCAATAGAAGGACTATACAAAACAATTCAAAAAATATAAGAATTTAATCAACACAATTCAAAAATGCACTGAACAATTTTATTTTTATTTTTTTGAAAAAACTTTCACGTTATTGTTTTTTTTTTTAAGACTTCTTATATGTCATGAAACGAAGATAATTATTTATATTAAAAAAATGTGGTGCATTTCTAATTTTTTTAAGAGAGCAACCCTATTTTTCATTTTGAATTTGTCAAATATTCAAAAAAATATTTACTTTATGTAGAGGATTAGGAATTTGTAACTAATTGATATTGCATGTCATTATATTTTTTATTTTAATAATTGTAGGCCAGGTATTTTTTTTTAACATAGTATTTTATTATCTTAAACTTATTATAATAATTAAAAAACACTTCACTATTTTAGTTCTTATTGGGTCTCGCATATGACATATTTTGTCCATTTAAGATGAGGTTTTTAAAAAACAATAATTTGGTCTCTGTATTTTTTGAATTGTATTGATTCAATCTTTATATTTTTTAAATTGTTTTGATTGAGTTTTTTTTTTTTTTTTTTTGAGGTCCTGCTTGTGACGTGTCATGTATTCAAAAATGAATATATCACATCAATTTACAAATTAACAGTATATGAAAAGACAAAAATAAAATAAAGAGAAAAAAGTCAATAACAATTATAAAAAACAAAAGTACAAAATCTCTATCAAAACAATTCCAAAAGTAAAAAAAAAAAAAGAAAAGAAAAAAAAAGAAAAAGACATATAGAGGGCAAAACCTTTTATATATATATATAGACACACACACATTATCTTTGCCAGATAATAATTTGTCATAATTTACATTTTTTTTTTTTTGTTCTTCTGACAAAATTAAAAACAAAATCAACATTGTGCCAAACAAAACTGAAATTTGGCTTCTGGAAATGAAAAACTGAACTTTATCCGAAACTCAAACTCAAGTATCACTTCCCTAGAGGCAAAAATGTATGCGCCATGTTTTTTAAACTACTTCCAACTCTAGTCATGAGCAATATTTTTCGACTTCTATGGTGAGCTTTTCTTAGGGTTAGAGAGCGGTTGTGTTCACGAAGATTTGTGCCCCTATCCTCAGCTCGTTCTGTAGTTCATGTGAATTATGATGGTTGTACGGTATCACACTGATGGTTAAAGCTACAGAAAATGCAAATATACATTCATAAAAAGTACGCAAATATGGCAGCTAGCCGCATAAGGAGAACGTAACAAATTAAAACGATGGCCTGATGGCCAAAAATAAAGGAATTCACGAAAAACAACATCACATGAACCACTTTTTTTATTTATTGTCTTTATGTATCAACAAATAATAAAATAAAATCATGAACAGCAAACCATTTTCTCTTTTTGCATCAACAAATAATAAAATCAAGAATAACAGGCCAAATAATGATACAAAGTCCTCCAACACAATCCCTCAAAAAGAATGTTAAATAAATAGAACTATGACCAAGTTTATTTAATGCTTCAAGAAAGCAGGCAAGACAACAATAGGGACGAGCAAAACACAGCCCCAGATATCCGCAAAGAATAGGCTGCTCCCTTGTCCATTGTTGGTGCAGGTGCTGGTGCCATCTCAAAATCTTGAGCTGTAACAGTTGCAAAATACATTGCCACAACAAAGAAGATGGCCATAGCCTTGAATGTGCTCACTAATTGTGCCATGGAGACAGAAAGCAAAATATGGTACAAGAAAAGATTAGTGTTTGCTGGGGATATTGTATGGCTTACTGTGTGCTAATTAGTACTGTTTGTGAGCTCTGAGAGGGCCAAGGCCTGAAGGCTATTTATAAGGTTTTGGGCAGGCTTGTGGACCCTAAAACAAAACCTGGAACAGCTGTTCCAGGTTCGCAGGTGACAACCTTTTAAGTCCAGCAAGTAAGAGCAACTTTTTGGTTGTTAGCCACATGGTTTGGGTTGGTTAAGCTGCTTCGACCCCAAGGAACTTAACGTGTAGTGAAAGTTCTAATGTGAGACTTTGAAGACTAAGCTCTTTCTTTGTTTTTTTTTTTTTTTTTTTGGGGTCCAAAAGTTCTGTCTCATGTCATGATCAAATTACATCAAACACCAACTACAGGGTGATTTTGGGTTCAGATTGTGACAACCGTATTACAGGGTGCAATTTCTGACTTGTCACGTTTTGGAGCCCTATAAAATTAGGCGAGCTGCGTCTAAAACCTACAAAATTTTGCTTCCTTCGGCACGTTTTACAGCAATATTTCATTATTTCTTGACTGGGCACATGGAAGGTCAAAGAATCACATGCTCAAATAATAATAGGTTTTATTATAATTTAATAATTTTAAATTTTTATTATCAATTTACATAATTTAAACCCTAAACATCGATTTTTAGGTAAATTTTATCAAAATCTTTTAATTTCAATGATCAACACAGTCAATCTTTAATTTTTTTTCTATCATTATTTTTTTTATGTTAATTTTTTTTCTAAAAAATGTTAAAAATGCTTATGCACTATTTTTCAAGAGAGATTTTTTTCCCTTCCATTTACCCGTAAATAAAAAAAATGGTTTATTAAATTTATCGGGGATTTTTTTTTTTTTTTGGTTCTCTCTCGGAAAGAGCTTTTATTTTTTGAACATATCTTTAAGAAACTAAAAATAAAATAAAATTAGAGAAGTTAAAAAAATAATTTTCTAACTCTTTCAATTTTAAATGCATATTATATATTTGAATCAATTGTAAAATCATATAAAACATGTGAAGATAAAAAAATAAAATAAATAAATAAATACATGAATATTTAAAATTTAATGATTGACAATTACAAGTATAAATTTATTGACATAAAAAAAAGAAAATTTTCGATTAAAATTAATTATTTGATAATTTCAATAGATCAAATTCAATGTAAAAAATTTAAATAGAAAGAATCTCTTTTGAAAATGGAGGAAAGCATTTTTAATATTTTTTTAAAAATAACAATCAATTATAATTAATGAATTTAGATAAAGTTATCCAAAAACAGATATTTTAGGATTCAAATTATATAAATTGATTATAAATATCTGAAATTATCAAATAGAATGAGGGTATTTTGCTATTAAACTAATAAGAATGTATGACCTAATGGAGAATATCATCATTGTCGAGACTCTAAAAAAAACAAAAAAACAAAAAATAATGTTTTGGGGTGACAAATTAGGACAGAATATACTTTACAGTTTGTCCTTTTACGTTTGTTTTGAAAAATATTTCCTCAAATTTTCATATCTCACCCTCGGTCATTACCTGGCCGGCGTACATGGTAAACTTATGTCAAGGCATCCAAACGCAAAACGAAAATAAACAGCTAACCATTGGTTAAAAACTTTTATATGTATTTATATTCTTGATTTTATATTAATTTCTCTTTTTTATTTTTATTTATCTCAATGTTTTTTGTTTACTTTTAAAATTTAATTTCGTTCAGTCTTTACTTGATTGAAAGTCAGAATAACCCTTTCATTAACTTATAACTTCCATCATATATATATATATATATTCATTTTAAACGTAAAAATAAAAGTTAAAAAAAAACTAATTAACTCGTGTTTCTACTTTTTATTTTTTCTTTCTTCTTCTTCTTCTTCCTGCTCTCTTTTTTCACCATGGTCGCCATCACTCACCCATAAAACCGATCACCACCAAAACATCGTCGCTTTCTCTCCCTTATGCTTCCTTTCTTTATCTCTGATTTCACTCTTTCTGTAAACCTTCTCCTTTCTTCACATTCCTCTCTGAAAAACCAAAAAAACGATGCCCTTCATGATGGCATCCTCTATTGAAGATGTATTTATTTGTATTTTCTAACTGTATATCTAGCTGTATGTAGTTAGTTAGATGAGAAGTGGAGGATTATAGCTCATGTAGTATAAATATTGTAACTGACTTTGTACAAAGGCAGACTCATTGAATATAATGGAAATGAACTTTCCAAAATCGTTTTCTTCTTTTAACATGGTATCAGAACACCATTTTTTCTCCCTCTTTTTCCATAGCTAAAAACTATTTCTATCAACTAAATCCTTACTATTTTTTAGATCTAAAATATTTTCTTGCAAAATTTATTCTTGAAATTAAGTTCATGGAGAATCAAGTTGGTATTTCCTGTTCTTCTCAAACTCTTACTATTTTTACTAATATATCAATGATCCTTTGTATCTACATCCTTCAAATATATGAATCTTGTTCTTGTTACACCTCTACTCAAAAGCGAAAAAAGATTATAGCTTATGGAGTAAAACAATGATGATTTTATTGGAAGCTAACAACAAGGATGGTTTTGTCACTGGGAAATGTTATAAGCTAGGTATTGATTCACCATATTATAATCAATGAAAGAAATGCAATGCCTTAGTTCATGCTTAGTTATTGAATTCAGTCTCTACACATTTATCAATGGATTAGCTTATTATCGGTACGCGGATGAAGTATGGAAAGACCTAAAAGAAAGATTAGACAAATAACATGGAGCTAATTTTTTTGTTTTGCACAAAGAAATTAATTTGCTAGCTCAAGGTACTAAAGTGTAGCAATATATTACTCTAAATTAAGGTATCCCTACACTCACTTGTGTTTGTCCAAGCTGCAAGAGTCGGATTACTCAACCGTTTGTTGAATACACACAACAACACAAAATGATGCAATTTTTTATGAGTTTGAATGATCAATTTCAGCTTATAAGATCACATATTTTGCTAATGAATCCTATGCCTACTCATTCACAAGCATATTCAATAATCTCTAATGAAGAATTACATACGAGAATTACTCCACTTCAAGAAGTTCCTATTGCATTTTGCTCTATCAAACCTCAATATCAAGCAAAGCAATTCATTGATAAAGGAACTTGATGCAAGGAAATCAATTATGATTATTGTCACATTTTAGTCATACCAAAGGCAATCGCTACAAACTACATGGATATCCAAATCTACATAAAAGATTCTTCGGGAATAATAAGGAGAGACGAGGTGGAAGTAGTTCTAATTTTGGTGGAGATGGACGAGAGATTCTATAATGCATATAATGCCAACTATATGGGACATGATGATTTATAATTTAACAATCTTTTTAGGGGACATATGACTAATATGACAAAACAACATTATGGTACACAATCGGCAAACATGATGGCATCTCCTCCTATATTTTCTTAGTATCAATATTAACGGATATTAGACCTCTTATCTAAAAATACAATTTCAAGAAAGATTATTTCCTAGATTGAACCGATTACAAATATGGCAAGTGAGTTTTTTTACAATCTCATTGATGTAAAATCCATTAATGATGAATGAATACTAGACACAAGAGTTAATGTTCACATGATTGGTACATTTACTTACTTAGATAATCCTACGAAATTGGTTTTTAGTTTATTGTCGGATTACCTAATGACACTATAACTCGGAGTTACTCATATAGGATTTGTTTCTCTTTCATAAATAGTTTTTCGGTATGTTTTATACATACCTAATTTCAAACGACTACTTGTAAATCATCTTCAATATCGAGATAATATAACAATTTGGCATAAAAGGTTTGGGCATATTGCTTTTTCTAGACTTACTATGACTTTTGGTATTTCATCAACTAACACTTATATGTTGTGTGAAATTCGTCCTTTTACCAAACAAATAAGGCCACATTTTCCACTAAGTACATCTTTTTCTTATTTCATTTTTGAACTTGTTCATATTGATACCAGGATCTTTATAAACATTCCACCTATAGTTAAGAGAACTTTTTTTCATTTTTGATAACTTCTCTAGAGGGACTTGAACATTTCTTATCCAAAATAAATTCCAAGCTCTTTAATTACTGCAAAATTTTTATTCTCTTATTCTTACACGGTTTCCTTGTAACGCTAGAAGGGTCGAATTGGATAGGGGCTTTAAATTTTTACAAAAATCTTGTCAAGATTTTTCTCTTCCAAAGGTATTATTCATGAAACCTCTATAACCTACATTCCATATCAAAATGGTGTTGTGGATAGAAAACACGGACACATTTTAAACATTACTAAAGTAATTATGTTTCAATCTCATGTGCCTATCAAATATTGGGGAGATTGTATATTGGCATCCATATATCTTATCAACGGGACTCCTACACCCTTCTTACATGGTAAAGCTCCTTTTGAAGTTTTATTCCATAAAACGCCAACCATTTTCCATCTTAAATTTTTTTGTTGCTTGTGCTTATGCCAAAATTCTATCTTTTCTTGATAATTTTGCTCCTTGATCTAAAGCTTTCCTTTTTTTTTTTTTTTGGGGCTATTCTTACTCGTAAAAAGGTTATAAAGTCATGGACTTGCAAGATCATCATATATTTCTTTCTCGTGATGTCTCTTTTCATGAATCAATTTTTCCTTATAAATCTTCTTTGTTTTACCTTGATCCAATTTTCATTTCTCTTAATCCTAATTCTCAATGGACATATGATGATGACACTTTACGACGTCCTATGTCTTCTCCTCCTTCTTCTCTAACTTCTCTTTCGTCATGTTTTACACTAGAATCATCTTCCACTAGTGTTAATACCTCCGTTATTTCTCCTTCTCCTCTTATCAATCCATCCCTTATTCCTACTCTCATTCCTTTAAAGAGATCTTCTCGAAATCCATTTGGTCTCACGATTATAATTGTCCTACTTGACCA